CACTCACTACCGCTACCAAAAATTCCAATTTTGGCAAGGGAAGGATCCTCGGGGTCCGTGGACTATTTCGCTTCCGCCTTCACACTTACCCCGAAGCTTCCGCCACTTTCGAAGAAGTAACTACTTCACGCGGTACAAGCTGTCGCATCACACCCCCCCCCTTACCGAATGAGACCAAAAAAATAGTATGAATTTATTTTGGTTATTTTTAGATTTGAAACCTAACAATATACTTGTGAATTCGGCTGGTTACGTTAAACTATCAGACTTTGGTCTATCCAAGGTGATGGAACACTCCATCACACGCACTTACGTTGGCACCACCATCTACATGGCTCCTGAACGTCTTCGTGGTGGCGTTTACAGGTTTCACGTTACCTTAGACCGCTTCTACACCTGGCCAGAGAAACAGTCAGTGTTGGTTGCTCGATCGGAGAGGAGAATGAAACTGCTTTCAACGAAAGCTGCTCTGCGGCCAACTTTTACAGCTGTGATTAAGCCAAGGAAAAGGGGAGCGGTCAACAGAATCGTCCGGGAGTGGCGCCGTCGCGCGCGGTTACTTGCGCGGCGTCGTAACGCGGCAGTTTTTCGATGGGCGCGGCAATAATTGACTTTGTCGATTGGAGCGATGAATTAGCTGCAGTCCACATTAATCAAGCAGACATCGAAGTCCATTTTGCTTGGTGAGATACCTTTTTCTTCCATAACACTGCGTCAGATTCGCGGAAAAGCTCAGTTTGGGATTAACCTTAGAGGAGAAGAGGGTTTCCGGAAGTGCGTGAGCAGTTCTCATTTTGTCCGGAATTCGCCCCTCTCCGTCAGCGTAATCTATTCCTGTTTCACAACGGAAGAGTTCGAGAAATTACCTGGAAAAAACTTTGTCGACCTAAGGAAGGAGTTTTCTGGGTGAATTCTGACTTTGCTGGGGTTTTTCTACGCAGTAAACACATCAGCAAAGTCAGAATTCAGACCAGAAAATCAGAATAAACAGAAAACTGGAACAGAACAATTCATTTCCGCATTATATGGAAACGGGAAAAGGAAAAAGGTCTACTGGAACCGAAATCACCCATGCATTGATTGAGATGTTAAAGGGAGGAGTCGACTTTAGCGTCCTTAACATTCACTATTGAATGACGCTCACAGAAACTCGTCGCAGTGGTCGTGGTCGCGGCGGTCCGTGACCACGACCACTAGTGCGGCTCTTCGGACGATTCTGTTGACACGCACCCCAAGAAAAAGCATTTGGCCAGGTTCAGTTCGAGTGCACTACAGGGCAACCGGCTGCCTCTTCAGGTGTAGAGGTTGGATAAGCAATGTAAAGATCTGTTATATAGTAAGCCTGTTCTCGAATTGCTTAAGGATTGAGTCCGACATATGGAGCTTCGGGCTTTCTTTGTGGGAACTTGCTGTAGGACATTATCCACTACAAACACCTAAAGATGCCCTACTTACAACATTTTTCAACTCTGGCAATGATCGTCAACCGTATGCCGAACATATTGCAGGACATCCACAAATGCTTTGCGTACTGATTAATGGATGGTAATTTTTTCCTCCCATATTTCTGTAATTTTGCTTTAGT